TGCTTTTCTGTTTTCTATTATTTTCGTTTTTCTGTTTGTTCTTTGTCTTTTGTTTTTGTTTTTTGTTCGCTTTGTTTGGTTTTTTGTTTGTTTGTTTGTTGTTCTTTTTTTTCTGGTTAACGATAACGTAACCCTTTTCCAAACATTTGGGATTGCCTATCGGAATGTAGTCCTCAAAAATGCATATATTGGGATTGTTTTAGGGCAAGCATATAGCATCGGTACATCTGTATCAGGCATTATACAACAACAAGCGGCAACACCCCAAACAGTGCACACTCAGTACCAAGCCAGTGAAGCACCCGCCACTCAATGGCAGATTCACAGTACGAGTGATGTCAGTGAGTTCTTGCGTACAATGAATAAAGAGAGAATGCACTTGGAACAGCAGCTGAGTAGAGAAGAAGAAACAACCATCCACAAGCTTGTCAAAGAACAGGTAAGACTCGACAGAAAACATCGTAGCTTCAGTTGTATTAATACTCTTTCAGAACATGACTTTCAATATGATATTTTCTAGGAACAAAAACGAGCCCAAGGTATGAAAGAATTAGCAGAAAAGCTCGCCAACAGGCTTGCTGCAGGAGACTTAAGCGAAGACGAAATGAAAGCCATAATGGACGATCACGAGAAAGAGGTTGCCAATCTTGAGAATGCACTAGATGCGGAGAAAGAAAAACAGATGGCGAACCTGAGAGATAAGCTAAGGCAACGAAGAGAAGAAAAAGAAGCTGCTCTTTTAAGAAAACAGAAAGAGGAGGTAATAGTATTTTCCAGAAAATAAGCTAAGGGAAACAATCTCTGATATTTAGGCTTGTACCATCGTAGGTACGATTTCCTTGCTTTTTCCGAAAGAATAGCATCTGTATGGTCACATGCATAGCATAGTCACATCCAACTAATCACTGATAAACCTGTGGTTATCTGTTTTAACGTCTCTAAGTGAAACGGCACCACCATTCTACGTGGTCATCCGAGCCGCGGCGAAGGCCCAACTATTTGCAATCATTTCAGAGCAAAGACAGCACTTTCTACTCAAATATTTCAAATCCTGAATGTTGTTCCGGTCCTTAGCAAACCGAGCAAACTGGACGGCTGTATAAGGAAATTAAGAATTAACCAGATGCAATGTTTTTATGAAAGAAACAGACAATGACATCCCATATAAATTAAACTTCCTCAGTGTCTTTGCAAGCTAAAGGATATTTTTGAATTTATTTTTAAGGCTGAAAAATCTAAAATCAAGCTCGATGACGAGGTCCCCAAAGCTAACGCTGAAGTACTGATCAAAAGCCAGGAAGGCTTGCAGGAAACTATCGTCCAGGAAGAGATCATTGGCCAGGCAAAGGCTGAGGTGGAGGCATCAAATGAGGAAGTAGAAACTTATAGGAAAAGAATGGGTGRCATGTTCTGCAGTACAGTGGTAAGATGAGTTTACGTAATGACAACATTTATATAATGCAGGATCAACTTTTAAGGTGCAGACACACGGTGCAACATTGCACGCAACAAATTTGAACCGGAATGACACACGTTGCAACAAAATCACGCAACATCGCTTGTGTCAGCCCGCTATGCTAAGAAATTTGGACAGCGGTCATAAATGTTTGGAAGCTGATTGGTTCGAAATTTCAAAATGTTGCACGCAATGTTCACACCATGAAATCTAGGGCTCGATGTCGTATGTGAGTCAGAATTGCTCGTTGGTTCTCTCCCGTGCTTCGAGGATTTTTCTCCAGGTTCTCTGGTTTTCCTCCCTCCCCAAAAATCAACTTCTAAATTGCAATTGGAATCCAGTGGAAGAAGAGCCACTTTGTGGAACCACTGTTAATTCCCTTCGTCTATGTACTAATATTAAGATTTATTCTCAATCCGTCTTTAAGACAGAAAATAACTTTGTTAATGACCTTCAAAGGTTCAATTTCTTTTGAATAAAACCCATAAACCAATACATCTTGATCATACAAGTGGTCCTTAGTCAACGAGTCTAAAGAAGGCTCGCATTTTATTGATGATTGCATGTAACTGTTAATACAGGATGATCTCGTAACCTCGGGATCACTTGATCCTGATGCTGCAGAACGGCTAAAGAATGAACAGATGAGTGCTGAAGAGAAGCTGGCTCGCGACTTGGCTCAACGCAAGGCTCTCCAGGTATCTCTAATGAAAGCTAAACTGGCCAAGAAGAAGAAAGACAGAATGAAGAAACTGCGACAAGAAGAAGAAGCTGAAAAGGCGAAGGTTTGTAATCAACTCGATCAAGACTCAAGACTCAGAATTTTTTCTGAGTCTTTCAATTTGCAGCTGCAGAAGTTGCTTGATATACTGCGAGGATCAGCTTAATTTGATACAATTTGATTATGTTTTCATTCTGCAAACATGCTGAAAATTCTAGGTATTATTTGTTTCTCGAATGTGTTATGGACCATTATCAAAATAGCCCTGGATGGGAGGCTAACAGGAAAATACAAAAAAATGCCACAAATTCCAACGAGAAAAATTAGGATTTCTTTTGTATTTTGCTGCAAGCTTCGCTTTCAAAATAGTTTTGAGAGTAGTCTGTTGAGGGGAGAAAAATCAAATATTAGTTAATGATGGCCTGGGCGAAGCTATCCCGATTGACCGTACTTCAGTGCAAGAACGCTCAAAAATACTCACTAATCCGATTTGATCGAACAAGAAAATTTATAAATTTGATTCATAAAATAAGTGATAATAGAGCTCATGCTTGGGACGTACTAGTATTTGGTGGTAAAGCATAGAGTTTTGCGTACAAATTAGAAATGCTATTATCTTGAAACTACCTTAGTCAAACTTTGGGGGGCGGGATTTTACGTTTTATAATGAACGGGAAATAAAGTGGTAAATGAAATGGAAATGTTTTTCTTTATAGGCCATAAGTGAAGGCGAAGATTTGGAAGAATTACAGAAGCAACAAGAACAAAGACGATTGGCCATGGAAGCTTCCTTAGAAGCAGAAGCAGTTCGTAATGTTGGTGAACTAGAGATAAGACTTAACGAAGAGCACAAAGAAGAGGTTAAACAACTACACAAGACTCTCCTAGAAAAGGTTAGATTTATAGTCTTTTATCAGGCTAATTCTCTTACTAGACCTTTCGCTGATCATTAGACGCTGAACATTGGGGGAGGGGGGGGGGTGGAAAGCGATAAATAAGTAAAATATAAGTCCACTTTTAAAGCTGAAAATCATATAACAGACCGACCCAATTTGAAATAATCACTCTATTTTCTCAAGCCTTTCCCAGCCTCGCCCTAAATTTAAAGCTACCTAAATTTAAAGACAAAAATATTATGGCTGCCGAATTGAGGTCATCCCGACATTGTTAGATAACAGCTGTTATCTTCTTCAAAGATCCAGTCGCTCTTTTGTTGCCTTTTCGATTATCCTCTGTCCTTCCTACCGATCGTCCGCTTCTTTTCCCTCCAACTTCTTATTCGCTACCTATACATGTTTGTGTACAATGCCGTGAGTTATTCATATCAAGTGGTTTTTGTATGGTTACAGCTGACTACAGGAAACAATCTAGACGCGGTACTACAGCAGCAGATCTTGGATCAGTTCCGTAAAGACAATGAAATGCTGCAGTCCCACCTTGAGAAGAATAAAAACAAGAGTCTCGATGAAACAAAGGTTGGTGGAATACAAGTCCTAGTTTTTTGATGCTAAAAAAATTAAAAATTATAATTTATCGTATATTACAAAGCTGATTTCATAGATAGTTGAGGGGAGGTGGGCTGCGTAAATCTTCGAAAAAAGTTATCGAGCAAGCGTTTCACCTGTGAAATAAAAATGGCGCAACCTCTCCTTTCAGTAAAGAAATATCGAGCAAACCAAAAAAATTGCGTTCAGGGATTACCAAGAAATAAATATGGTGCAAGATAAACTCGTGCAAACTCTCTAATGGTCCATTCCTTAGTAATGATAAATGGGTAAATTATACACCGCAAAACTTACTGACGTTTCGGACGCTAGTCCTTCGTCGGAGTAAAAGAGGCAAATGCAGGCAAATGTCAAAGTCTCAAATTCCATCGAGGTCAGATATTCACATTCATTTTCAAAAGGCAATGCTCGGAATAATCTCGTTGGACATGTTCGCACCATCACTTACCTATTTCTTTGTCAGGCTGAAGTCTTGATGAAACTACGACCAAAATCCTCTTCAAAATTTGATTACTGTTGGAATGTTTTAGTTTCTTTGGTTGTTGCAAGATAATAATGATCAAAGGAACCACGTAACTACTTAACTAAGATTGTTTTAGCAGTGGCATCAAGACGCACAAGAGGAATGAAGAAATATTTTTAACTTGGGGCAATTTTCAAACATAAATGACAAGACTTAACAATGTATTTTCCGTATTTCAGGCTAAGTTAGCAGCGCGTTTAGCACGCAGACAAGAAGAGGCCCGACGTAGGTCTGAAGAAGATGCTGCGAAACGAATATTAGAAGAACAAAGCAAAGCTCTGGCCGCTAACAAACCAGTAGATGCAGACCATGTTGCTGTGCCTGATGTACTGATACCTAATGAGACCGCTGAAGAGCAGGTGAGTGCTCTGGTCTTGGTACATCATCATCATCATCATCRTCGTCATCATCATCATCATCGTCATCACCTTTAATTATGTGTCATAAGTACCTAACTTACATTAAAGTAGGCTAATTAGGTTCACCTATCTAAAGATAAACAAATATACATAATGTAAAAATATATAATATATCATATACGGTCACGCAGAACTCCGAACCGCCATCTATTGAGTATTGTTTTTTTGGTATTCTATTCTCTCCTATGCTACGAGGGTTTCTCCAGGTTCTCGAGAAGTTGTAACCGAGGTTCAACTGTGTGATTCCAATTTTCATTACAGGCTCTGAAGAAACAACAGCAAAAGGTAGTCGAGGAGATGCGTATACGTCATGAAGAAGAAGCTCAAAAAGCCAAAGATAAAGTAGGCAAAGAAATGAAAGAAGAAGAAGAAAAAGCCTTACGGTCAGTAGACGCAGACAAAGAGCGACAGATGAGAGAAATCAAAGAAAGACATGCTGCAGAAATATCAGCTCGTAGTAACACCATGACTCCTGAAGAACTACAACAGGTAACGAATGCCAGTCTTTGCTTTAGTATTATGTGTATAATAGGTTGCGCCAAGGAAGCAACGTGTTCGGAGCTCTCTCGGTTGTCCCGAGGGTTGCCCCGAGGGTCGTGGTCAATGTGAGTCTTTTCTTTAGTATTATGATTATGATAGGTTGCGCCAAGGCAGCAACGTCGAGGCCAACGTGATTAATGCAGTGTTCTCTCTCCTGCAAGAGTTTTATTATGTCAGTTTTCCTATGCAAAAATGAGCTAGTGCGAAGAGTTTTAGATTGTAATAGGTTGTGATTTAGGCAACAGTAAGCAGTCTCAGACATGCATAGACCTTTCCTAAATTTGCTTGATTGACCATGAAACGATGGCTGCAAGCTAGAGGAAATTATTTACAGTTTTTCTGTTGCTGCAAGTCAAGGCTGGACTCGATGTGCTCTTTCTTTTACTGTGTTTTATCAAGACCAACCTTGAATTGGAACCATTGTTTAAATGGTCACTTGCGTTGTATTTGCAGCTTCTTGCAGCTCATCAACATGAAGTCGATGAAGCACTGGAGAAAATAGATGCTGAACGTAACAGACAGCACTCAAACCTACGAGCCAAACTCGCTGAAAAGAAAAAGAAGAAACTCGAAGCTGTTCAGCGAAAGCAGGAAAATGAAATGTCGAGAGAACTGATGGAACAAAAGAAAGAATTTGATGAAGTTCGCAACGAACAGGTAAAGTTTTTGTTGCTTTGTCCGTTTAGTTCCAACCTTTTTTCCTTCCTTCCTTACGTTTTTTTTTCGTTTATTTTCTTTCTCTTGTTTTCTTTCTTTCCTTTCTTCCTTCCTTCCTTCCTTTCTTCCTTCCTTCCCTTCTTCTTTCTTTCATTCTTTCATTCGTCATCATTCTTAGCAAATCAAAAACCTAACTCACGCTTTTGAATATTACAGGTGAAGGAGGCAGAGAAACAAGCCATGATCGAAGGCATCCGTGAAAATGGTGTTGAAGCAGCTGAGTTTGTCATTCGAAAGGTAATGATTTATTCCATATCCTCAAATTGTAACGATCATCTTTTGTTACAAACTTCAAAGAGACGAGACAATATTTGCCTGTCATCGTAACCTTTTGAGGGCCGTAAGCTAGATAACTCACTTCACCCTCTCTAAAGTATATCGTATCATAACCTAGTAACCTAAGTTTCACGAGATTCGTTAGATGCTAAAATTTACTTGTTGGTGTGACGTAGGTCCTAGAGAAGAGACAAGAACAAGAAATTAGTGACTTGGAGAAAATGTTCAGAGAGGAAAGAAGAGTGGCTGTCGATGAAGCACTGGCCAAGATGGAAGAAAAACATGCACAAGAGCAGGAGGAACTGAAACAGAAGGAACAGGAAGAACTCGATGCTCTTGGTAGAGAGAAGTTGACCCCAGAGGAACTACAACAGCGCCGCGCTCAACTTTTCAATAAACAGCAGTTAAGACAGAGTGCTTTGGACAAGAAGCAAGCAGACGAGAGAAAAAAGATCCAACATGGTGCAGTGGCTGATTGGGAGGTCAGATATGCGCGAGCTAAGCTAGAGTTGAAAGAAAAGCATTACAAGGTACGTTTTGTTGTGCTTCTTGTTTTGCCTCGTTATTCATTCCTTTGCTTTTCTTTCCTTTCCTTTGCCTTCCTTTTCTTTCTTTTCATTTCCTTTCCTTTTCTTGCCATGCTTTTCGTCGCGATTCCTTTTCTTGCCTAGCAATTGCTTGCCTAACCTTTCCTTCTCCGTTTCTTTCTCAAAAGAAGCTAGCTTCTCTTTAGCTCAAAAGGGGTTTAGTTTGCATGCTTGATTTCCAATCACTTGATAGTAAACACCTACCTTCATGCTAATCTATCCTCTCTATATAAATCCCCTTCTTTACCAGGAATACGCCGACTGCCTTAGCCAGCTGACTCCAGAACAGGCAGAGGAACATCGCAAGTCTGTTGAGAAGGCATTGGCAGCAGCGAGAGAACTGGATGAAGTCAAAAAGAAACTCGATGAACAGCGAGTCGAAACCGAAGAAAAAATCAGGAAAGAAAATGAAGGTGCTTATTTTTTTCAAGTTTCATACAACTTCTGTTTTTAAATGCTTTCAAGTTTAAGTTGCTAACTGAGAAATTCTTTTGGCAGATTTTGAACGCGAACAGGAGGCTCTAATGGCAGCTGAGTTGAATGCATTTGAACAACAACTCCAGGACGAAGAAGAGGAAGAAAAGAAAAAGAACGAAAAGGCAATCCTTGCTCTAAATGCTAGAAAAGAAGCTTTGCTTAAAGAAAAGAAATCCAAGGTCAAACAAGAGATTGAGAAGCTGTCTAAACAAGGAGGTTCAAAGGAGGAACAAGAAGCACTTCTTAAAGAACACAGCAAGGATTTGGCGAAACTAATGAACAAGATGGACGCTGACAGGATGAGGATGCAGAGTTCGCTCGAGGATAGGTTARAGAAGAAACGAGAAGCCAAAAAGAATGCTAAACTTCACGAACTGACGGATAAGCTAATGGAGGAAAAGACTGAGCACCAAGAAAAACAACAGGCTGAACAAGATAGGGAGCAGGTACGACCATTTTTATTATTTCATTAGTTTACTTTYTGGTACAAATCTACAGTTTGTAAAGGGGAAAGAGAAAGCTTTAGTGTAGATCTTATCGTGTTACCAAAGCAATACCAAACTTTTTTAAGACCTTCTGACATTTGAAAACTTTGAAGAGAGTTGAGCAAACCATAAATCCGTGAAATAGTACAAACTAATTCGTACAAAATAGCACCAATAAAACAAGTGGAAACAAAAGAAAAAGATGTGTTTTAGTGCTATTCAGTTGTTGTTTCACGGATAAATTATATGGTTTGTACTCAAGTACCTCTGTGAAGTGGTCACCTTAAGACCTTTCTTGGTGTCCGCTTAATAAAGCGTGTTCCRATGAATATGAATGTGTGTTATTTTGGCATCGTGTAACCAGCTGTCCCTTTAATGAAAGGTATCCACCAAAAAGAGTATCTTTGAACTTATGTGTGTTTTGTTCTAGGCAAAAGAAGTAATAGCATTGAAGGAAAGCATTCAAATTGACAACTTGGTGTCCGATACCCTAAAATCAGATGCACCACCCCCACCCCCTCTTACTGTCAAAGCAATGCCAGACAGCTATCAAATGGCCGCACCTCTCAGTGAAGGAGAGCTAACCAATCTCCTCATGTCATCACCGCTGTACCAGAAGTTAGAGGCAATCAAGTCATTGCTGAAGGAAGGCGCTGGGAAAAACGTTGGATCATCAACCACAGCTGGTAAGACTTAAAAATTTGCATCAAAAAGATTCCAAAGATTCCTTAAGGGAATTCTATTGTGTTGGCCCCTACAGTGAAAATATTGGTGTAAGGGATATATATATATATATATATATATACATTGAAAGTCGCATTACTTGACTCCAAGTGGTTTTCTGCCGTGCGCACTCAATATCGAGATCTCACCGTTGTGATTTTGGGAGCTTTTTGTTTGGGGGGGGGGGGGGCATTTTGAGAGGTAATTTGGCAAGATTTTGCATGGGAGTGTCCTGCAATGAACTAACATGTCCCTTAGGAAATGAGAACCGGCAATGATGAGCCACTATTGGCTCCTGCTATGTCATGAATTTCCATTTGGAAAGTTTTTCTTTTAAAAGACCGAGGACTAAACTATATTTCGTTTCAGGAGAAGGATACATTGATATCAAAGATGATACTCTGTTTGGAGGCGATGACGAGCTTGTTCCAGTAGATCTCAACACTCTGTCAGGTCGATCGTTCGTGGTTTATAAATTTGGCTGCTTCATCACAGACCTCCTCTCTGTTCACTGCCATCATATCCCAGTGACCCTTCTTCTCGCTACCAAGCTCCCACCCAACACACACCTCGAAAGGAACGCCTATCGAAATTCCTTCTTTTTCGATGCAAATAACAGAATTTTGTACCTAAGAGCTGATCGTATGGACAACGTTGGAGAATTTGTAGTGGTCATTGTACACTGCCTGGCTCACATCGCCGCGGGTGACCTCAGAGATGATTCCAACCCTGTGTTCTTGAAGGAATTCCATCAAGGTCTGGCAGTTACCTGTGATGACCTGTTCTTCTCACGGTACAGACGCTCCTCTGCTTTGTCTCACACACTTGCCTCATTACCGCAAAATATCAAACTCGAAGAAGCCAGTCGAGAACTTTTGGAATCCGTTTTCGGAGATTCACATACCGAAGCAGATAAATCAAACGTCGTAGAGGAGCTACTTGATTTGCGTCTTCTTCGTGGGGCCGGCAGAGATGGTGTTCACTTTACGCAGGAGGGATTAATAGAACGTCTTACAAAGTACAGTGGCTTTCTACTAAGCTCCAACTTACGTGGCTACCTCGGGGATGTTGAAGACAAGACGAAAGACGCAAGACTTCAAGGGTCTGAAGAATATATTGACAAACGGCTGCACCAGCTTACTGGACAACAACAACAAGACCGACTGAAATCTCGGTACTCCCAGGCATCTGGGGAGTTACTTGCAAGAGGAATGTCCAGGCAAATGTCACGGACGATGGCAGTGTCCAGAACAGCAACTAGTCTACCTCTGTCAGGAAAATCCCAGTCAAAACCAAAGGACGGATCGAGAGACGAAGATTTATACCGGGTTTTCTTAGAGGTAAGAACAGACTACGTAGTAGGTTTGTTAATGCTTGGTGGCTGACTCTACTTTTGCTTAGGGCAAGCCTTGTTTTCTTTCCCAATGGATTACTAAAAAGTAAGCTTGTAGCCCACGGTCACCCTACCTTTGTACAATCGTAGCCATAAAGAATTTGATGTGTTTTTCAGGACATGACAATAATTTGTACATATTGATGGGTTGCAATCATTCTCTAGAGAGTCAAAAGACAAAAACATGGTGGCCATTGTGGTGCCGTTAACAATGGATGCTAATGAGAAATCTTTTGTTAAATGGCACCAACATGGCCGCGATGACGTAACGTGCAATCGAAGAATATGTGTGTCTTGTTTAACAATGATCACTTTCTAAGGAAGTTGGATTACTTTAATTTCATGGAATTTTAGCTTATTAAATTCACAATCCGAAACAATGAACTACAATCAATTTTGAGAAAACCAGAATCATCCCTTTGAAGGTGCAGTCTCATCCGATCATCATACAAGGGACGACAGACGTGTTCTTGGGAATCATTTCACTCTCCTGTGTTTCAATGTTCTTTGCCAAAATGTTTATAATGTTTAAGGCCTAGGGTAAACGTCGAACTTTCCATGCACCGAACTCATTAAAAACAATGGATATCAGGTGATAATGAGGGGGCATTCTTTGATGTAATTAAGTTCGGTGCATGGAAAGTTCGACGTTTGCCCTAGGCCTTAGGACGGTTAATATAATATATCTATTCATTATTTTGAAGGTCCAAGTAAGTGAGGTACAAGAAAAGGTAGACAGCCTTAACGAAGAGTTCACCAGACTTTCCAGACAATCATTAGAAGCTGATCAAAGTATTAAAGAACTGGAACAAGAACTGATGGCACAGATGGACCTCTTGAAGGACGCCCCTGAAGGCTCTAAGGAATATACCAAGAATAGACAACTAATCCGTGAAAGTGCAAGTAAGCTGAACAGTGCTAAGTCTAACCGCGACTCCCTTGCCCTTCAAAGAAGCAACTGCCTTCAGAGGTTTGAATTGTTCAAAAAACAACTCGAAGAAAAATTGAGCCAACTAGAACTGTACAGCGGTAAACCAGAGAGTGAAAGACAACAACAGACTGAAAAGAAAATGCAATCTCTGACTAAGGGACAGAAAAAACGAGCTAAGAAGTAAATAATGAACAACCTTATAAACTTTATAGAGGCTGAATACTCAGCTATGACTAATTCTGATCTAAAATGAATACAATTGTAGTCTCACTTGATTAAGCTTCAGTATTTATTAATGAATAATGAACGAGGTATTTATGATCATCAGTCAGAAAACATTGATGTCATGCATGCAGTATATAAACTGCTTGGAATTAAGTTATTTTTTTTATCATTCCGATAGTCTTAATTGTATATTTTTATAGAATTATAGTCAAAATTGTAAATCTTAGAATAAAATCTACTTAGTAGAAAAGAGTCACAAAAAGTTCCATTAGAAAAAAATCTAAATTTATCAGGTCTTCCAAGTGACTCCTGTTTTGGTATTTTCTTTAATTTATATTAGTAGTAATAGTAATGAAATGGTACACCTGCTTCCGCTGAAAAAAAATCAAATGTTGTAAATATTGATGTGTGAGACCAGAGTTAATAGAGGGGACCCTCTTTTAACTCTGGTAAGACTAATAAACTTTTTTCTCTCAACTTTACATAAAATATGAGGCTTGCTTTAAGGATCTGCGCGTCACGTTGGGTTTGGTGTTGAACACAATAGACCTCGGCTCTGGAGGGGGAGCGCTCGAGCGTAATGTTGTCCCATTTCAGACCACGTGTCATTCCCTCGAGAATAATATTCTTTGTTTGAGTGGTATCAATATTCATGTGTCTTCTCATGTGCAACCGAGCGCAAACCTTAAACGAAGAAATGATACTCTAGGGAATGACACGTGGTCTGAAATGGGAAAACATTACGTCAGAGGTGAGGAGGTCTATAGCACAAGACATCAGGATCAGTGTATTTGCTGCTAATCTTTCTACACAATAAAAAATGCATGCTCAACTTGTGTTGCTTTTACTGAGTCACTTGACAATGAGATTAATTTGTTCTCCTTCACCATCACACTTTTCTTTCACACCCCAGGTATAACCTAAAGATCGTTCGTTAAGTACCTATCTGGGTTCACTGCTTACAAATACGACGCTTTTTTCAGTCATAATTGATTGGTATTTGAAATATGATAGTGGAAACTGAACCGGCCAAACGTGCAAAAACACAATGGTTCTATCGCTTTACACTTAGGTCCCTCATAACAATCGAAAAAGGATACCAGAGCCTGCACAATGGTCATACTGCTTCATATCTCAGACCCCAGTAACACAGATTGTGATAAGGGATACCATGGTATTCAGGATTCATTTTTTCACACCCAATAGCCAAAAATGATACAAGGGATCCATTACTATTATAACTTCATTTTCGTTCCCCAATAACCAAGGTAAAGAG